TTACTTTTTTCTTTTTTTTTTTTTTTTTTTTGCGAGAATAGAAGATCCAAGCTCCGCTTTATGCAGCTTATGTACGGATTACCAACACAATCCTGTAAATTATTACGTTTTATTACGTTATACCAGCCAATAATCTATGAGGGTTAATTAGAGCAAGGAATATCTTTCACCAATGCACACCGTATCACACTATAATACACAATATTATTGTTTCCATTTACGTACGCCACTGTTTGCGTACTACTATTACGTTTTTTTATGTACAATTTTCAACCGCAAATTAAGATTACAAGAAACGTTATTTGCTGCGCGTATGCGTATAAATACAATTCTGAAAATTATTTCTTCTTCGATTCAGCGAGACAAATATATTTTCGAAGAAATGTATTTTCTAGTGTCGTGGTCTTGTATGTACAATTATTACGTGTATATATGTCGCGTCGACTTCAAAGAAGAATATATATATATATATATATATATATATGTTTTAATAACGCGAAGCTTGCGCGTGTAATAATCTTGAAAATATCGAAATTTGTTAAAAACGAGCTATTTTTACACAAGCGTAAAGAGAGATTCTAGAAGATAGAATATAAATTAACGTTTCAAATAGAATTTCGACTACAGCTTCAAGTTTTAATCCGAGCAAATAATCTAATCTGTACATATTACTTTTTTATTCCATTTCTTAGTCTTATTTATACGTTGCGCTATTTTATTAAAACAATATTAAAACAAACCATGCAAATATAGAGATCACTTTTTTTTTTTTGTAATTTTCTTGTCACCATGATTTAGTTAGTTTCTCTTTGTTTTTGTTTTTTTTTTCAATTTGTCGTGCATGTATGTATAATTTGCAAACAATTATCAAATTTGTCGGATAACGATGCAAATTTTCAATTGGAAAGAACGATCGAAAAGCAAAAGGAGTGCCAATTTGACGATAGTCGAAGAAAATTTGGAAAATTTGAACGATATATTTTAAAACGTATATATATTACGTTTTTTTTTCTTTTTTTTTTACTTCGATAAAACACTTGGAAAAATGCATTCGATATTTTAAATATATTTGCAAATATTAGGGGTAAGTTGTATAATACTCGATAAAATTTTAAGACGGTTTGAGATTTCGTGAAATTCGCTTTACATACACATGTACAGTGCGCGCGCGTAGTCGAGCAGTATTATACAAGTAAATAAATCGATAAGTAAATACAACCTACCCTAAATTGTATTAAATTCGTTTTGACTACCGTTATTATTACGTTCACAGAATTCAAGATAAAACAATGCATAAACGAGTACGTACCCGACGTGAACTGGGTGCCTGTTGATATCAACATTGTCCGGTTTCAGATTGGCGGCATTTGTACGTTGACAAGTTTCCTTCGTCATCATCTCGGTTATCGTAGGCGCTGCACAAAATTTCAATTCGTATCATCGAACCGCGTTAAAATTTTCACGTACGACGAAAAGGCAGGCTTAATTCGATCCGTCTTTCTTTCACAAACCGCGAAACTATAACACCATTCTCGACCATTTTCTAAAGCAACGTAATTCAATAATTCACCTGAGAGCCTCCATCATCTCTGTTCAACTTGAAGAATACCGCACACCGACATTGGAAAATCTCTTGCTCCAATGTTTCAAAGCGAGGAAAGAAAAGTCCAACTTACCTCCGGAATGTCGATTATCCCTCTCGTCGTCTGTCACGTTCACACGCATCGAGTCATCCCCCATAGATTTCATGTCGTCAACAGTCATGTATCGATATTGCTGTTGGTCGCTGAGCATCGGATCTTCACCTGTTATGAACGCGTGAAAATTAACGATGCGATCGTTGCAAGGGGGGAAGAACGTCGTTTCGCGAGAAGATTCAAAAAAGAAAGGGGGGGGTGGGGGAGAGAGAAAGGGGGAGTCGCAAAGATCTCTCTAGGGCGTCACGTCGCCTTGAATTCTTGTGTAGAAAAAAAAAAGGAAAAAAAAAAAAAGAAAAAAAACAATACGGGGGGGGGGGGGTTGGAAGAAGAGATATCGTGGTCGAAGAGTCAAGTAAGTACGCACCAAGAGTAAGTGAATGAATAATGAGGCTGCAAATAAAGGGAAAAAATCATTGCCATTGGAAAATTATCCCAAAAGTCAAGCTCAAAGAAGCGTAAATTAAGTATATCGTGTCGTTACGTATATATAATATGTATATATACTCATCGTCGGAGTCGGAGTGTCGTTTATTCTGGCCTTGCTCGTACCCTTAACGCATCGAAGAAACGAATAACGCACGATGCTGCGTCAAATGACTGTCAAAGAAGTTTATATATATATACTCGTGCGAACACGTGAAAGAAAAAAAACAACAAACGACAGATCTTTAAAAACTGACGATTCTTACGGTTTTTTTACACGGAAATATACTCGAAAGCAATACTCGCTTTCGAGTCGAAAGGGGGAATTCAACTGTTCGTAGAAGATATACCACTCGTAATTATCGATCCATATTTTACGAGTAATAGAAATATAAACAAATAATCGATTATAGATATAAAGATACGATAAAAAAATCTCGTAATCGATTTTTTTTTATCGTATTGTTTGCTCGTCGCGCACGTATCCCATGCGCGCGACGAGAGAAGCGCACGATTCATTGAGAATCGATGACGAAAGCGTTATAACGTATATATATACGGGTGGTCGTAACGTAATAAATATCTACCTTTTTTTCCTTTTTCTTTTTTTCTTTTAGACGATAGACACAGTCTATCGTAAACCGGTATTTAAAAATAATAAATAACTTCAACGAGGGAACAAAGTTTCGAGGGGGAAGTAAAAAAAAAGAAAAAAAAAAAAAAACGAAACGCGCGTAGAAACGGTATCGTATTTTTCACGAGACTGAGATCTACTCTACTCCGTTATCCAATCGCGTTATACGACTTTAAACACGTCTTATCAGATATGCCAAGAATATGGAGCGCAATTATCTAATAAATGGTCAGCCCACAAAATTTTACGGCCCACGTCACGCGTGTGTGTAACAACGCCACTATACTAAACTAAACTAAACTAATCTCTGGCGCGAACGAACGAAATTGTACATCATTTCCCTACACTGTCTCAGGAATGTACACTGTTGTCAGCTTCGAAAATAAATCTTCGCAAAGCTCGAATATATTGCGACACGGGTGTAAAGGCGAAGAAGATGTGCACGGTAGGACGAAAAATAATGTTACTGACGACAACGTTTCGCTTCTTTCTTTTATTCGAATTACGATACGAAGAGGCCAATCTCGCCTCTTCCGCTCTTTTTCGATAAAGGGACGTGCACACGCGGCGAAAAGCGTAATCTCCGTTCGAAATCGCGTGTCGACTTCGAACCAGTTCCGCTTTCACCGTCGATACGTCGCGTTTTCGGAATCGATACCTGCCTAGCCTCGGAACCAGCCTCGCGTCCTAGACAGACAGAGAGAGAGGAGCTTAGGATCTGGCCGCGTTTCGGCGCGGTGTGTAAACCGCTTAAATCGGTATGGCGTGGAAATGATGTCATTCGTTATCTCGAGAGAGAGAGAGAGAGAGAGCTCGAGAAAGAGTGGATCGAGAGAAGGTGGTGGGAATCGATAATATCTAAAATTAATAAGAAACACGAAGAAGCGAGGCTGGTGGTAGGCACATGGAGAGGAGAAACCGCGAAAACTCTAATTTTAGGCGGTGTTCAAGGACACCGATTCTAAAACACGTTCTAAGCCTCTCCACCCGAGCTTCCATCTACGAATAGTTGACCTCATAGGCAGTGACCTATATCTCGGCCGAATACACGCGCGCCTGTGAAAACTAACCGCGAGTAATCGCGTCGAATCTCGTTGAATGCAGTTGGTGGCACACCGTCCTCCTCGTCATAGACGAGAATAGTACGAGAATCGTAATCGACCAGACGCTCGGCCTTTGTGTCACGTTGCATCGGCGTTAATCGAATTCCCGCCCGTTTCCACGTATCGCCTCGCCTCGCGTTAACGGCCACCAAAATCGAAAACGAGAATAGATTCCCGCTACGAGAAACCTACCCAAACTTGACCGACGCTAGTCGCTTCGCGCACCTTTTCAAACTTTCGCGCCGACAACTCGCCGAAATCGGGGCATTTCCTCCCCTCTCCTCCTCGACTTCGATCGCCAATCGAAACGTTTATCGCGTTCCAATAGGGCGATGCAATCGATCAACACGGCCCGTTTCGTTTCTTCGAACGGAAGAGATCGGAGTTCGAAATCGAATATACGAAAACCGGTAATAAATCCTTCCTCCTCCTCCTCCCTTCTCGAGGTGGAGGAAACTGGCTGACCTTGATCGTCGTCGCCTCCGTTCCACGATACATCATGGTGCGCGACTTATGTCACCGATGCGTCCGTCCGTCTCATTGTTATGTCATAATCGTGCTCACGTTCCTCGTGCCGCTCAATTAAGCTCGCCAGCCTTTAACCGCTTCTCCACCTTCCATAATACGCGTACGTTCTTCTCTCAAACGTTTACGGCCTGTTAATTTCGACACGTAATATTACACGTCCGTCACCGTTCGATCCAACCTTTCGATATGATAAATCGTTTCCACGCGACCTGCCTCGGTCACGTCGCCAATATCGATCCGTCCGCTTCCGTGTCGAGCGACCTCTCGCACGGATACCATACCAATAATAATCGTAGCGGATATTAAATCGGTCGGGATTTGCTCGATACGATTTCGTTCCAATTCTTAATATTCGCGCCGCTGATCGTTCGCGTATACGGGGCGGGAAATATCCGCGTAAATATCGAATCTAATTTGGTCCCGGTATTCGGGTTTACGAGGGGGGAAAAGACATGGATATTTATCGAACCGGCGGTGTCGTTACTTCCTCCATCCTCGTCCGTTCACCATTATCTTCCACCAACGAGATCGGGAAACGTAAACATCTGGTGGAATATATACATATATATATATATATATATGTATTCGCGCGTTTATAGACCAAGTTTAAGACGAGTCGTTTAAATTTGTTAACTGCGAGAACTCGTGATGTTGGATTGTATCTATCTACTGCGTAAATGGAGTCTGTTTGTTGAGTCTGTTTGTATCGTGGGAAGTTGTATGGAAAGTATTTGAACGATTTTAAAAAACGGCATGTACGATTGGAGAGAGTGGTGGGCCTGGAAGCGATAGTTTTTATCTTTTCCAAGCGCGGTCAACAGGTTAGGAAGTTTAAAAAATCCGTCGGAAACAATCGTTTTTTTGAACGATTGCTGGTCAAAGAATATTTTTTCGAACGATAGTTCATTTATATGAACACTTTTTGCAATAGTATTAAATTTCTATTAAATATTTCTATGAATATATTCTTATCCGAAAATACCATCATCGCGTGTTGCAAGAGGAAAAAAGACTTTTTTTTATCTATTTTATACTTTTTTTTTTTTTATATTAGAACGCATATTTAACTTCGGTTAACATTATTTATTAAGTCAAGAAAAACAAAGTCGCGTGGCGAGTCTCTCATTATCACTTTATAACCACTCGTTATCGCGTCGAGAATATTGTGTTAAACATTTTCTACAGATTTTTCTTTTCTCGCTCATTTGAAATCTGATTCGTTCTTCAAAAAAAAAAAAAAAGGAAAAAAAGAAAAAGAAAATTGAAAATACGAGACAAAATAAAGATAAACGTTTCGATCTCGAAATCGGAAATATCGAAAGTTGAAAAAAATCCCGTTTTATAAATAAAGAATGTAAATACACGAAATGTTCCATGCACTGGCGTTACGAAAATACCGAGAGATCGCTTCCCGAGTTTACGATTTACTACGATATTGTTCGTATGAGAAAGCACGTGACCCGAGATCGTTTGCCAAAATTTCGATCATTTCAGAAATTCTCTAAAGCGTCACGCGATTCGACCGCGCGAGGAGAAACGTTCGTTTAATCTTCCGACAAATAGATTTCTAAGAAAATGCACGGAAAAATTCGATTTAACGCCGACTTAAGAGAAACGTTTCGAATGGTATTTTCGTTCGCGCGATTAAAACCACTGGTTAATAAATAAACGCGTTTAAATCGCATTAGATCGCGAAGAAGATCGTGAAAGAAAATCGTGGGATTATATTTACTTGTGCCGTCGCTGCTCCTGTTGCTCGTACACCCGCAACACGTTATCTTCCTCGATTGTCCCTTCTGCTTCGACCGTCCCTTGGCCATTTTTTCCTTCTTCTTTCTTTCTTTACGCCGAACGAAAGGAGAAAAAAATTTGTCTCGAGATCGAAATCAAATCGAAATTGGTTTCGTCCAATCACGATGAGGATCCAAAGAAAAGAAACGAAACGCGCGGCAAATCGCACACTTTGCTCCTCCTCCTCCTCCTCCTCCTCGAGCGAAAAGAAGAAGAAGAATCCTGGCAAGGTGCAACTTTGTACAACTCGGTCCAAACGTACACGATGCACTGACGGTGTACGGCTACGTACGTAGGATTAATTACATCACTCGGCTGAAGCGAGCCGCCGACGATGCGCAAGTTACAGGTCACGCGAATTACAATTAACGCCCGTTATCGGTACGCGTCCATTGATGGGAAGATCCATCCACTGTCGATTCCTTCACTCTGTTTGTTTATCGTTTGTTCGAGCACCGGCCGATCATCGGTGGAAATTGGCGAAATTTGCCGTCTCGTACACGTGTGTGTGTGTGTGTATGCGCGCACACCGTTCCAGGGTATCGTTATTACTGGAGAGAGAGAGAGAGAGAGAGTTACGGCCGTTACGCAAGCAGCCAACGTATTTCACCTGATTAGATTTGATTTGTTAAATTGCATTAACCGCGGCACGGCCTGGATGCTTCTCTCCGCTTCTTTCCTTCCGCGCGTATTTCGTCGCGTGCTAGAACCGGCGGGGTCAGGAACAGCGACTGCTTTAAGATTAATACAAGTTCGACGCAACACCACCTAACAGAAACGTGACCTCATTCCGTGAATCACCAATTTTATAATAGTAGCTGCCTCCGAGCTTTTCCACTATACTTTATTTACATCTTCGCAACCGTTTGCAACTCTCTCTCTCTCTCTTCGTTCTTCCGAAGGAAGCGTGCAAGGAAGCGTGACCGGGCGCAATTGTTGGCAACGATTGATTCTCTTCTCCTCTCGCGTCAGTACGTTGGCGGGCGGAGCAGTCGAACGAAATCGCGATTCGTCGAAACGGTTCTGCGAAGTCGTAGAGATAGAGCGCGATTTACGATCACGATCGACCGATCCTACCGATCTCAACTTCCGCTTTGATCTTCCTCTCCACCGACGCAAGTATAAGAGCGATGGTAACGGTGAGTGGCTTTCGAGCTTTGAAGCTGGAGCTAGCTAGCTTCTCGATCGCTTCTGGATCGATAAATAGAAGAAGAAGAAGAAGACGAGCATTCGAAAATTAGGACTGATGCGCGCGAAATTTCCTCTCCAACCTCGCTTGTTTACGATGTAACGTGATCGACGAACACGATTGAGTAACCGTGTCAAAGTTTACTAATCACACTTTTCCCGCGCGTCCACCGCGTCATCCGAGTTAACGACGAGAGTTAAAAAACTACGCGTCGAATTTTGTCGAAGTGGAAAACAGAAAAAAAAGAGAGAGAAAAGAAGAGAGAGAAAAAGAACAACAAATATATCGTATTATATAAATTTCGATATTTTGGTCGTGAATCGTATTTGGCGACTTGCCAGCTAGCAGGGGTTCGACTAACTGCACGAATAATATGGTACAAGATGCACACACCGGCTGTTGCATAACAGTTGAAGCAGAATGCGTATAGGTACGAGGATGATACGTGAAAACAGACCACACAAGCCTACTTCTGTTCCTGTCGACTGGCATAATGATCGTACAACTCGTTATTATGCAAATTGCATTAACAGTAGTAACGCGCCCTACTTCGTTAACGTACCATTTTCTGAATTTTAGATTCGAAAAGTGCGAAATGCATCGGTGGCTTCGCATCGTTTGCTGTAACATCGTTTAATATCTTAACTTCGCTTATATATTTTTATATATATGTATCGGTTTATTCGATATTCAAAGTTTCGACAACATTGGGGGAACAGCTGCAATATTTTCGCTTGAACATGTATAAGTTTTATGTATAAGTTTTTTTCCAGCGATTCAAGGAACAAAAAATCTTGAGATTAAAGTTTAACGATCGATAAATAACGATCGTTGTGTTCCAGCCGGTGGAATATAATATTTCTTAATGTCGATCCAACACGAGAACGACATTGATGCGTGATGACAAAATTAAACTGTTACTACGTATATACTTAAAACCAGACATGTACATGTAAGAACGTTCGAATGACGAGTAATGAATAAATGATAATGATTCTTGCTGAATTACAAGCAGCGAGAAATTTTTATACGCGTTTGTATACGCGACTCGAGTAAGTGCAAATCATAAATCGAGAATCATTTGATTAGAAACACAGAAAAGAAAAATATTTCAAGATTATCTACGTGTCTCTTCTTTAATTCTGTCCTATTCTCATTTTAGTTAAATAATTAATTCTAATATTTGACATACAACAAATACAACGAATAGAATCAATCTGTTCGCGTGAGAAAAAATTTTTTTTTCACATACGCATGTATGAATTAAATATTTATTTCATTGGCAACAATCACGATCGCGAGAACGATACCAGTTGAATTTCGATAGCATTTAAAACCTTGTAGCACAATATATAAAATTATTCACAATATCGAAAACTCAAAGCGTAAATCTCATTAATAAAATTGTACGGGTACTACAGGTGTTACAAAGAGGATTGTAATTTTTATAAGAGGAGAAATGGAGCGACAAGGAGGGTAAACGAAATAGAGTGTGAACAAACAGCGGTTTCAGGAGAGGTATATGTCTGTGCATGTCTCTGTATTTATGTTTTCCACGCGTTCCACAACAGGAAAAAGAAATACGCTACGTTGAACTGAAAACTAAAAAAAAAAAAAAAAAAAAAAAAAAAAAGAAAAAATACACCGATTTATCGTTCAATTCTTTTTAGTTCGTAAAAAAGTCAAAACGCGATTGGCCGAAAGTACATTAGGCTTGTTGCAACGAGAACTGCGTTACGATATCCAGTTAAAGAAAGAATCGAATACGCGTTTGGAAGAAAGAAATTCACGTTGAACGTTGAACGCGTAAATATTAAACGTTTAAAATGTCAACGTACGGGCCATTTAATGGAGATGATGTAAAAGCATGTAAAAGAGAAAAAAGACGATACTCTTAAATGAGATTCGACGATATATGTATATATAATGAATGATATCCGCGTGTTTACGTACGCGAAATTAATTTACGTACCCATGTGCTGATATATGTATGTATATGTATATATGTAATACATTATTATGTATATATATATATAAATACAGAAATGTTGCGCGCACGTGTGATTATGTGAAAGAGTAACAGAAACAGAGTACAGACAACTTACGGGTATAGGTCATTTGGCCCTGGTAGTAAGAAGGAAGGTACACGTGTTGCGCGTGTGGAGGCTGCCCGTACACATTCATGGCTGCCATGCCGATTTCATCACCACCTACATTGTACGCCGTCGAGTAAGGTCATTTTTTTTATCAAAACGCTAATTTTGCACCATAAACACTGTTTCTAAATTTCGCTATCACTGGGTTGTTAAATAGCCGACTTTACGTAGCAGGAGATAAAGCCTACCGCGAGCTTTATAGTTTGTTCGTTTGCTTCGAGTTAATAATTTTACCTCACGTATTTGATAAAATTGTTTAAAGTTTGTCAAAAGTTTTGTTCAAAGCTGTGTGTTTTAAATCTACGTATTTTATTTTTCTTTTTTTTTTTTTTTTTTTTTTTTCGTAGATAGAATTAATATTTGAGTGTTTGTTAATAAGTGTAAATGGAAAAGTATATAATTTTTAATCGAAATTAATTTCATTTAGTTTTGATTAAAATTTTATTCGTCTAATCTATCTTCTCTTTTTTTCTTTTCTACTTTATGTTCGTAAGATGGAACAAATAAGTATGTGAACGTGTTATATTTTAATTAAGCAAACAAGCAAACCTGCTTAGATTTATTATTTGTTATAATTAAGTTTGCTCCACATTAATTGTTATAAAGGAAGAAAAAATTTAGTCTAGAATTTGTTGATGGAAACTACTTACTATACAAATCTTACACAGATAAGAAAATAGTTTCGTTTTATTTAATTCAGGCAAGGAGAGATTACAATGATATCTTGAAAAAAAATTTTTTTTTTTTTTGTTATAAAATAAACTTCAAATTAGTATTCGCGAATTTTAATTTATGTAAAATTTATGTTTACCTGTGTAAGGCAAATATGATATTACTTTGCGAAAATTTTACTAAAATTCAAAATATTTAATCTATCTATCTATTTGATTATATATATGTATATATATATATATGTGTATATATATTAAACAGATCTTCAACTAGTTACTAAGTTTTTTATGCATCTAATAACTATGCGTCTAATTGTAAGATAAATTATTTTCTTCAAAGATGTAACAACAACCCAGTGAACATACACTAAATACATGCTCTTGCAAAAATGAATGTTAACATAAACGCAACAAAACAAGCAAATAATATCATATATCACGTAGCTCCTTGACTTTTACTCGAATAATTATGCTTCCTCGAATACTCCTTCTTATTAAAGATAATGAATTAAAGACAATATTTTGTGATTCAGTGTGTAAAAACCTAATATATATAATATTAAAGGATATTAAAAGGTTTTGCTAATCTAAAATCGATAGTGCTCTTGTGATTCCCTTCTTAAAAGAAACCTGCTAATTTCTATTAAAATTCTAGGAAAATTATTATAGGATTCATTACGAACATGCTAAATTTTGTAACTTTCGTGTTGTCATGCGTTAAGTACATGCATTTATATAGAAAAACAAATTTAGAGAATAGAAAAATGTAAATAAATGAAATGTGCTTAATAATAATATCTTTGTAATATTTTTCATATATCATTTTAAATACTTTGGTGCGATTAAAATTTAACTGTAGTAAACTATAGTTTACATACAGTATGTCATATAGGAAAATAGACGTTTCATAAAATGCTATCGAAATATAAATTTCGTAAAAAAATTATATCATATAAGATGTAATTTGTTACATATTAAAGACATCTTGTAAACTATTGTAATATCACCTATTTGAATCATTTTATATCAAAAAACCTAAAATTTCAAATAAAATAATAACATAATTAAATTTAATAATTTCTTTATAAATAGAAAAAATTTAATTAATTACATATTCGTTATTTATTTTAAGTAAATGTTAATTAAGTTTTCCTAAAAGCATAATTTCATGCAGTAAATTTATATATAAATTATGTGTATTATGCAATAATTGTTCTATAAGCTGTTACATCTATAAAAAGCGAAATTACAAAAGCAATACTATATTACAAACATATTAGCAAATATCTATTATTTTAATTTTTATCAATTTTTATTTGATGTTTTAATAAAATATTTGATATTCTAAAAAAAGAAAAAAAAAATTTGAAAAAAAAATAAATTAAAATTCTAGATTAAAATTTAAATTCTTGTTATAATACAGAAATACATTCTAATTTAACTAATTTTTAATTATAATTAACTAGTTAATATCTTGCGGTAATATCTTTTATCTTAATATTTTAGTATTCAATTATTTAAAAAATTTTACGAATCTATGCAAAATATATTTTTTTATCAAAGCGTCTATATCTGAAATTCTTTAGAATAGAAAATAACGAACACTTACCCCCTTCATCTTCGCTATCGCTCATAAATGTTCTTGCATTGATTCAGGAGCTTGCACTCTGTATTTTTCTTCGATAGTAACCGTATGAGTCGTTGTAATGACAGTTTCTGTAACTACCTTCAAAGTTTCGATGACACTAATGTAACCAAGTTTTTGTGCAATATCCAAAGCAGTTTGTCCATTCTACAAAAAATAAAACATTGAAAATAAAAATAAAAATTTGAAAGAAATAAATTTAGAAATAAATTTTTCATAAATTTTACATACATTAGTAGTTGTATTCGGTTTTGCTTTACCCTCAAGCAACAAATTGATCACCAATGTATGTCCTTGTTGAGCAGCTTGATGCAATGGAGTATATCCAGCATTCGTACTGCTGTCAACAGCTGCATCAGATCGTAAAAGGAATCGTACCATAGCTGCTTGACCAAAATGAGCTGCCACATGTAACGGAGTGTAACCGGCCTATAACAAATATCTTAGTTTTTAAAAAATATCTTTATCGAATTTTTTTTATAACATACCTTTGTCTTGGCATCAATCTGGGCACCATTTTTAACGAGAATAGATGCAACATTAACTTTATCTTCTTGTGCGCACAAATGAAGCGGCGTGAGACCATTCTATATAGAAAAAAAAATGTTATTAAATAACAAATATTTATATTTAAAATGAATATTTTGGATATTTTATATTACCTTTGCTTTGTGATTTGTATCTGCTTTGTGCTCAATAAGTAGTGTTGACATATCGGTATGGCCTTCTTGTGCACTCAAATGTAGCGGCGTAAATCCTGCTTTTGATTCCGCGTTTGCTTTTGCTCCGTATTCCAATAAAGTAGTTGCAATATCCATCTACGTAAAAATTATATTGGAATTATTGATATTATATATTAAATAATTTATAATTAACGTTATGAATAATTACAAATGAATTACCTGATTCTTGCGTGCTGCAATATGTAATGGGGTATGACCATTTTTAGCCATAGCATGAGGTGATGCACCCTTGTCAAGTAGAAGTAACGCTACATTTTGATGATCGTAGTGAGATGCTACGTGAAGTGGAGTTACGCCATTCTATTTAAACGAACGATTAAACGAATTTAGTGTTTAGATATAAAAATTACGTTTAATAAGAATATTATTTTTAAGAAGAAAACAAAAAGAAAAGCAATAAAATTGTTTCTTACCTTTCCTTGGGCATCAACCGGTGCATTCCTCTGTAACAGTAATCTTGCTACATTCATATTACCATACTTAGCTGCCAAATGTAGAGGAGTGAATCCTTTTTTGGTCGTCGCGGTAAGCGATGCGCCGTTTTCTAATAAAACGGATGCAACCTGGAATAAAGATTACAAATGAAAAATTAATAAATAATTAAATATGATATGCATATACATATAAATATATATATTCAGATATTTAAAATTTTACCTCTTCTTGACCTTCTTTAGCGGCAATATGAAGCGGTGTATACAAATCTTTAGTCGTAGCATCTACATCGGCACCGTGTTGAAGTAATAACATTACGATATCAACGTTGCCTAATCGGGAAGCAACGTGAAGAGGTGTTTGTTCCTCCTACAATATTTGCACATTTTCAAATTTATTTTAACAATTTTTCGTATTTCTACGTATATAAATAAAAGCATAAAATAAAATATTAAAATAATATAAACTATAAAAAGGAATAAGAAAATTAAACGCAAAAAATTGAAACGATGTTTTGTCTCTATAAAGTGAATATTCAAATCAAAATTTACGAATACTCAATTCTTTTCTTTACCCTTGCTCTGGCATCAACTTGGGCACCATTTCTAAGAAGTATCCTGATAATATCAGTCTGATTCGCTCTCGCAGCTAAATGCAAAGGCGTTTCGCCCCTTACTGTCGGTATATCGGGACTAGCTGCATGTTGCAGTAAATAAATCACTATGTTCATGCACCCCATGAAGCTTGCTACATGTAGAGGCGTCAATCCAGACTAAGCAATAAAATGAGTCTATTATTACTAAAAAAATAATAATATTCTTCTTTTTTTATTATATCGATATAATAATATGGATTATTTCTCTGATTCTAAATAATCTCTGATTCTAATTAAAGGCAAATATAATTGGTACTATGGTATCTATAATGTATATCTATGACTTTTTAGATTTAAAAAAAAAAAGATGTACTATCGAGTTGATAAGAACAAGGGAATATACCTCTGTAGTGGCTTCGATGCTAGCTTTGTGCTTTAAGAGGAGCTCAACGACCTTCAGTCTGTTCTTTTTGCAGGCAATGTGAAGTGGAGTAAAGCCGTTTAGAGCTCGTGCGTTTGGATCAGCATTTCTATCAAGTAAGAGCTTAGCCACTCGTACGTGTCCGCAATGAGCTGCTACGTGTAGCGCCGTCAAGTAATCTACCGTCACTTCATCCACGGGTGCTCGATGATACAATAATATCCTCGCGGCGTCAACGTGATCTCCTTGAGAAGCCATGTGCAACGGTGCAAGACCATTCTGTCAATAGAAAACAAGCAAATTCAATCTCAAGAAAATCTTTTACTTTATATCAAAAGTAATACATTTTAATATTTTACCTTCGTCTTGGAACCGATCGGTGCACCTTTCTCTATTAAAATATCAACAACTTCGTGATGGCCAGATCGTGCTGCGCAATGAAGAGGTGTAAGGCCGTCTCTCGTTTTCGCTTCGATATTTGCTCCCTTGCTCATCAAAAGATTCACCATTTTTATTTTCCCCCATTTTGCCGCTACGTGCATCGGCGTAATATTGTGCTGTGAAATAGAACATAATTTAGAATAAAAATTTCTCAATGATTCGAAAACATTTTTAACAATATTGTGAAGACAAAATTGAAACATATGCATAAAACTTCTTTAACAAATGGGAGATCTTTAATTAGATGAGGTTTATCACAAACTTAGTGCTATTGTTGAATGAAGGCATATAGAATATAGAATTCTATTATAAATCTTTCCAGCCCACATGATTGTGTAACGGTTCCTCCAAAATGCAGAAAAAAGAATTTCTATCTCTTTCAGAAAAACAATGAGCTAAATAATGGAAGGGACACAAAGTCTTGAAAATTCTCAAAATATTCGTGTCAAAGGTTTTCAGTGTTCAAATTCACAGAAGAATTCATATCACACAAAAGTCACAAAAATTATATTATCAGAGCCAGAAATCTATTAAATAAATCATAGCACTATAACAATCATTCTTATTTTTTTATGATTAATAACTTGATTACGTACATTAACGTTGGAATCGAACTTTCGGATATCATACGTCTCAACAGAATAGAAGATGACGACTCTCTGACGATTCTCTTAAAATTTTTTCTACTCTTAATCATAGTGCATTTTTAAAGATTGCATACAGGCAACATTCATACACTATATTTTTGCTATATGTAACAAAATCTTCACATTATATTAATTTTCATTTATATTCTCAGAATTACTATTATATATAACATAAATATTTCATTCTATTCCTAATAATTTTTAACAATGCTGCATTTGCGATGAATCATTTTGCCATAAAATACTATATACCACAATAATTATTTACATTTTTATGTTTACAATACGTTTATTTACATTTTACGTTTAAACATTTAGAAATGGTTTTACCTTAGCTGCGAAATTTACATCTGCTCCTCTATCGTAAAGCAAGGATGCAATTCGATCGTTGCCATAATGTGCTGCTATATGGAGCGGTGTGAAACCGCTCTTCGATGTTACATCGGGATTATGATCGTTCTAAAACAAAAGAAAAAGTAACATATATAGACATTGGATTAATTCCTTTTCACATATTGATCACATCGGATTGAATATAGGGCTTCAATGGCAAATCATTACAACATACTTGTAAAAGTAGGGCAGCCGCCTTGCAATCGTCTTTCTTGGCAGCAATGTGGAGAGCAGGCAATCGAACTTTACCACGAGTGTCATTTTCCAACAGAACTGCTACCACCTTATCGTGGCCCTGTTGCATTGCTACTGCTAACGGGGTGAAACCATCCTGTACATATAAAAAGTATATCAGATTCATGATGTTATGTACATTGAATATAAATCTACACGATTTAAAAAGATCTGAGAAAATTTTTTCCAATTATAAAATATTAAATTAATTTGTCGTTTTTTGGTATTTGCTCGCTCAACTTTTGTATTATCTTATTATTCATCGTGTTTAACGAACATCAATTTTATTTACAAACCTCAGTAGCCAATGTTTGATTGGCACCTTTGCTCAGGAGAAATTTGACTACGGAATCATGATTTTCCTGAGCAGCCATATATAATGGTGTGAATCCATTTTGTGACTGTGCATTCACAGAAGCACCTCGTTGTACCAGCAATTGTACCACCTCCTCCTGTCCAGCTGTAACGAGATATTAATTTCAACTCGGAATTTTCATCCCACGTATATTACGGACGATATACCATTATTTTTAGAAAAAGAATATAAAATGCTTCGTAACAAAAAGAAAAAAATACTTTTCAATTAAAACACATTTATGCTTATTTCACTTGTATTTCTTTTTCCATGAAAATTGTCAAAAAGAGACTATGAATTAAACACTTGAAGAAATTTAAAAATAACTAAATAAGTAAAAACACGTATCTTTTTCTGATAACTCGTTTATATTCGAAATCTTATATGCAAAAGAAATAGTAATAGTAATAGTTGCAACTTACCAAGAGAAGCGATATGTAATGCCGTATTTCCCTTTTTGGTAGCAGCATCGACCACTGCACCACGTTTAAGAAGTTCTCTGACGATTTCCAAATGACCATCTTTAGCTGCCAGATGTAAAGCGTTTAATCCATTCTATAATCAAATCATTTTGTTTTCTATATTCTCTATCAAAATTCTATATCAATTGCTGACTATCAATAAACACAATATTTTATCTATACATGAAAATTGTTGTATAAATGAATTACTGAAAATTTACCGTCCAATATAACGTTATATTTATTATATATTTTAATATATATGTTCAAAATTCCTACTGTAAATGTTTATCAACGTAGTGGAAAAATTTTTTAAAAGTAAAAATTAAAAAAAAAATACAATATTGCTCACAGCATTTGAAGCATTAATGTCCACTCCCGATTCCAGGTATTCCAAAACCTTTTCCAGCTGCCCTGCACGAGCCGCACGGAGAAACGCCGTACTGGGATCGCTCTGAAAATACGAAAACACGTATAAAGTATGTAGCTGAGAGTAATTACACGCCACGAGTGAAAGAGTAAAAAAAAAAAAAAAAAAACGTAATCGAGATACAAGTTACGTTAAACCGGCTAATGAATAATTGATAGCGCAACTCTTTAAATACTTTCTTTCGTGGTCAAGTATTACGTGTTTAATCATTCGTCACGTTCTTCCTCACGGTTGTTTTGTCGTACACCAATCAGATATGCTCAACCGAGCGAAAAGTAATATATATATATATATATATATATATAAATGTATGAATGTAAGAAGACACTTGTTACAAATATTTCAACCAGTATCGTTAACCAGTTTTAATTGTCCAAGTAAAAAATACGTTCGAATTATATCGAATTAACTAAAAAATCTAATTTTCTTTTCGAGTAGTATATTGGCTTCTAAGAAATTACTTCAAAAAATTGATTCGTAGAAAATCGATGTAACAGTTGTTGGTGTTTGTGAATTTCGTAAAGTTCACACTGGTCGTAAATGGTGTCAAGCTGAAAAGCTAGGCGCGTCATACGACGTTATTTATCCGAATCATATTGCGGATAAGTAATTAATATGGAGCGCCACGCCGTCTGCGAGAAATGACAATCCTCTCGGTTTCTCCCTCTTTTCTCCCGTGCTCGCCTTCACCCTATTTTTCGATCAATCTCTCTCTCTCTCTCTCTCTCTTTATGGTTGGCTCATTTGATTCTTCGTCGAGGACACAAGCTTACGACTGGTTTTATAAGTTGCGATATATCGTTTTTTCTCGCGACCTACGCACAACAGGGACCAACAACAGAATAAAATACGTCTGGATGGGTATATTGTTGCAGTTCAAGCGAGGCGTTTTTTTTTTTTTTCCGATTCAGACGTCTGGATTATAATTCTTCGCGCGTTAAAACGAAGATGACGAGTTTAAATTTCCAGACGATTTTTAATTTACTATAGCTATAAATAAAATAAAGGTTATCCTTTCTCTTTCTTTCTCCACTCTTTATAGTTGAAGAAATATTATGTTTCGTACAAAATCTTTGGAATCTTCGTTCGATATATTAATTTCCTTTCATCAAAATAAATGAAAAAAAGAATTTCATGATTAAACTTAATCGTCGAATCAAACCAATCACATATTTTAATCCGATCAATCGTCTATTTATAATCTCGAAACTTGCATTTCATGAAATATTCATCAACGCAAAATTGATCACGTTCGAATACATTTTCGAGAATGTTCGAACAACGAAAATTACGAATGCGTGTAATTTCTCGATATGTATCTGATAACACATCTACAGTGCGCGTTAATCAACCGATATCTCGTATGCAACTCGGGTGTAAAGAACCTTCTGCGCTTGCAAACTCCTCCGTCGTGCTTTAAATAATTCAGCGAACCGTTACTCCGACACGTGGATAGTAGTCCCTTCTATGTCCGTCTCTCCCGTCTTCTTTCACTGTCTCGAGCTACCGCTGTCCCATCCCATTTTTTTTCAAGGTATGCTGCATCTTCCGTGGTGCAACGATGAAGGTCCGAGACGAGCGCTGCCGGTCACTGCACTCATTACTTATTCCTCCGCCTTGGAAACCGTTCACTCGCATAATTCTTAAATTGGCGTTGGTTACGCAATCCTGTTAGAAAATTGTTAATCCAGATCGGCGTTATCATCCAACACCACCGATTAAGTAATCCGAGTAAATCGAGTAAAAATGCATTTTACAATAATACGAAGAGAAAGGATCGTTTTCTTTTTATCGTAAGAAGAAAGATTTTGCTTTAATCTTGAGACACGATATCGGCCATCAGTTTACTTTCCTCGTTTAAAATCGACTACAAGAGTTGGTTTCTATTTACAGGTGTACGCTGCTGGCTCGACATAGTTTTCCTTAAAAGGTTCACGTTGATTGGATACCTTGGTCTGCACGAGAAGAAGTGCACCGTTCACGTAGCTCGGTTTGAAAATAACAGTGAGAAGAAGACATCAAATACAACGTATTATTCAGCTATCTGGTATCGATAATTTATGGAATTTGTTAAAAACTTTTTTGAGAGAAATAAATATAAAAATTGTATTTCAACTAAATTTTAAATATATTTTTGAAAACGTTATATTTTTAAAATTATGGTTAATTATGAAACTTTTAAATTTTTAGTGCTTTTAAAAATTTATTATAATTTTAAAACAGTTAATATCTTTTTTCATAAATTTTATCATATCTTTAAAAAGAAAATCATTCGTGTGTTACGATTATGTGTTGTTATCGATTGTTTAATTTTTGCAACCAAGGATATTTGCGAAGGAAAATAATTTTTCGTTCAATTATCGCGCAAATATACGCCAATTTCCTGTAAAAAGTGATTTAGCTGATTCGCTTTAAGAAAGCTATCGTAAACTATTGACTTACACACCTAGGCGAGTGTAAGTACTCTCGATTACTCTCTGTCTGGCTAGGGACGCTTTAAAGGTTTCTCGAATCCTTTCTAGAAGGGAAAGGGAAGAAGGAAAGGAACATTAAACGTAGAACGTAGCAGCATAGTTTAAACTGTACTATTATTAAACTATATTATCGAATCGAATGACAATTTGTTACTTCTATCAACGCGTTCATAACCAAGGATAAATAAAATTAATTTATAGACGATCGAGATCACCTTTAAACATCGTGGTTATTTATGCGGATAGAAAATTCAACAATCAATCGATGGATACAATGATAAGTTGTCGAACTGGTTTTTAAATAACCATAGTGTATGCAGAAGTTTCTATGGAGAAGAAGAGTTTGGATGCTTTAGTTTCGGACAAAGTTACCTACCGACGAAGGTATTCACGTTTAATTTCTTATTTTTTCGTGCCAGGGTAAAAATTTATGGAGAAAGTACAGTACAGTAGCGAAACATTAGTGATTAAAAATAACTCGATTCATATATGAGCCATGAAACGATGAAAATCGCATAATGGTGTAAATTAGTCTATCAATATCCTACACTTTCGTAACGCAATATTTTCCATTTATTATTGTAACAAACTCGGTATATTTTTCAATGTTATGAAAACGTGTCACGATAAAGAACGAAGTCACAATTTATGTTTAGTTGACTACGAAACTAAACGGATGGTATTTTTAGATAACTAAATAGAACGATCAAAACTCAAATTCTCGAGATTTTATTATCTCATATTTATTATTTATCGCATCCCACGAGAAAATACTTTTATATCCGCTCACTTTCGCATATTCGTTCGCATAAATAGAAGAAGAAAATTGAAAATTGAAATAATGCCAATTTATTCTCTTTTTCGTCTATTTTTCTTATCCAATTGTATCGTTACAATTTCCACCACACTCCGTATATTTATATGGCATAGTTATATTACACGAGAACAGATACTCCTGTTTAGAGGCCCTTATATATTTCTTTTGCTCGATAGTTCATCAAAATTCTTAAGCAGTCAGACTCGAAGCGTTCAAAGTGTGCATCGATGGCAACAGCTATGCGTCTTCCTGCAATTTCTGGCCGTGTATCAAGCTAACTATAGCTATGCCGTGCACCAAACGCACTCGCTACGAGAGGCAGCCGTACGTACGCGTACGAATGACCGCTTCGGGTTCACGTTGCGAACGAACCCGACAACCGGAAATACAGGTTGACGCCGAATAATCACGCACACGGTTGATATTCGCGACCCTGACTTCATCATCATCTATTATTAGCCACCGGTCCTCTTCAGGCTATTTAAATTGACACGCATGCATGTACACACATTTTTAATATAGTATGTATTAAGATGCTAAATGATGCTAAATGCGTGACCGTCGTATAAACAAATTTGCTTGTAATGCAGTTTCGTTTACAGTATTAATCGACCCACCGCCTTTTGAATGATAATTAACGGAAGGGGAAAAATCATCGTGTTACAAAAACGATTAAGAATGACAAATTATCGTACTTTTGCCATCGATGCGCGCTATTGTTCCGCTTCTAACGGTAAATACAGGTAAATACAACAATTTCTTTTTTCAGTGAAAGAGACGAATGTCTTTCTTCTCTGAATACGAAATGCCTTGCCAGCAGCTAAAGTAGAAACTCGATCGTAGAAAAATCGTGAAAGCGACGGAGGCAGTGCCGTTTTTTCGAGCCGGTGGCCAACAAGGGATCGCCACGGTTCGGTTTCTCAATCAACGGGGAGGGAACAACGACCGAGAAAGAGAGAGATTTTAGCCCGAATGTCGAGAAAATTAAGTGCAGAAAGCAGCAACTAGAAGAATGGTAATTACGAGGAGAAAATGAGAAAAGGAGGATGGGTTTATCGACTGGTTAAAGAATAATAATAAGAAATGAAATAAACGGAGCATGGAGGTAGTCGGGAGGAATGAAGAGAATGCGAAAAAGTAGGAATAAAAATAACGTAAGCTTTGGACCGTGATCGAACGAACGAGGCTCTCGAAACGCTTGCTCGCGCGTTCGATCGATCATTTGAAAGGGAATCGAAGATGATGTTATCCGGGAGACTCGAAGTGTCTATAATAAAATCGAGAGATGACGAGACCGACAGAAATACCGAATTGTTTGTTGATGGATGCAATGGTAATTTTATGCCTGACGTGTTCCACTGTTTAGGAATTCATAAGGTTTCGTATTCCCTGAAACTACGACTCGTAATTATTAATGTGTACAAGAACGAATTGAATTTAGAATAATATAACATGGAGACGCGATTCAACGTACGACAAATATATACATAAATACATGATATATATGATAATAGACTGCGTGTGATTACGTATTCGTTCGAGTTTGATTGTGCGAAATAAAAATAATCATTGAATAATATCAATATTGGGACAAATGTGACAAGATTAAGACTAATTAGTGCAAAAATAGAAAATAATTTAAATTCGTTATTTTCAAGGGTTTGACGAGTGAATAAACGAGGAAAAAATTTAGCAAATTGATTACTCCCTCTGATACGTATTCTTTAGTTAGT